GTTGGAGTAAACTTCTTCTTGGTTGTGCTCTTGACCAAGATATTCTTCAGGCCACCAGTATGACCAACGATCTTTTTTCCCGAGCCTCTTGTTGTTCGACCGATTTCTTTTTGCCTGAGCCCTCTTACTTCTTGAAGACTTTCTTCTTTCCTAAGCCTCTAGTGTACTCAAAGATTTTCTTCGTCGAGGGGTACCCTTTTGCCTGACTATCTTGGAGGAAGTCGTGGGCTTCTTTACACTTAGGCCCTCCCTAAGTTCACCACCACTATGTTTGAGGGTCAGTGACCAGGTATCTTGCCCAACCACCTGACAGTATTTGCAGACTGCTTCTTCGTCGAAATGATCGATGGCTTCATGGCAGCCCCGCGGGCTGGCGCTTTCTTCTTCAAGCCTTTTGGTTTATCAGCCCACATATCTACGAAGAAAGCAAAGCTGTTAGCGACTTATCAAGATAAAGATATAAGCAGCGAGCTACCAAGTACTTACCTTTTTCAAAAATAGTATAGAACTTCGTTGAGTCATCATAGAATTGGTACATTGCCAAGCGAGAAAGCGTGATGAGCTCGATAATGTCACGCTGGTTGCTAGGAAGGCTACTAAAATGTTGAAGCTGCTCTAAGCTCACTTCAGAGACGAAGTTTTGCTCGACGTTTACTGTAAAATGAAATAAATGAAGGGTTAGTTTACTTGTTGGACTAGGAAACCCTTTTTATTCTCACGAAGGTCATAGTTCTTACTGGCTTCCGAGGCAAAAGTGTCAGTCTCCCCAGCCTCATAGAAGAAAATTAGGAGTCCTAATTCAAAATCTTCTTTGAGACTCCAACCAAACCGTTAAAGTGTATTTTCCTCACATTAGATAGGTATTACGTTTAGTCTTGACTATTTTTCAGCCTATACAGGTGGACGAGTTTTTTCATCGATAGCTCGCCTAACTCGACTATCATATACACTATGTACATACCTAAAATAATTATGTACAAGTTCCCTGTTAATTGGAAGGGAGCAATGCCAAACCTATTCAATACGTTGGCAATAAAATAATGAAGGGGAATGGACAGCCCAAACCTAAAGAGGGTATCCGAAATCGTCACCCAAACTACAGGGGGATTTTTTCAAGAGATATCTCTTGGAGCCTTAGTGGAAGTTAAGTTGCATAAACGTCTTTTATGCGCTCGAGGTCATCATCCCCAATCGAGGAACTTGGTTCCTTCCGGGGCCTAGGAACTAGCCTTGGTGGAGGAGTATCCACGGAAGCATTGTCCGAGGAGCCCACAGTATCGTTGTCTGAGCTCCTTACAACGAAGTCGTTAGAAACTTCTGAGACTACTTCCCTGTGAACAACGGAAGCTGCCTGGGAATCAAAAAGTCGGTCTATGCTACGGCTGCTGGATGAAGACATGGTGGAAGCGCGCCTCTGGATACCTGAAACAGAAGCAAACCAAGTGTCAGAGCTCAAAATTTTGACAACCTATCCACACTTTGCTTTCAGTTAAGGCACCCAGGGTAGGTCGCATCGATCGACAGATACAAGCAAGCTACCAAGATTCCAGGGGCCACTTCCTTAAACCCTCATAAAACCCAAACCAGTGGGTCTACTAAAAAAACCTTAAAAAAAGCTAATGTGGCCATGGCAATGGCCACCCTCAATAGCAAAGAAAGCTTTAAATAAAGAAGGTAGAAGAAAGGAGTCTTACCAAAGTGTAAAATGTGGTGGCAGTTCGCGAGAAAGTCGCAATGAATGTGAGAGAGCAATGACGGAAAAAGAAGCAAATAAAATTTTGAAAATATTGCAAATGTGTAATTCTGATGAAGGATGCCCACTTTTATAGTGGTGAGCATGGAGACGAAGAAGGGGGATTCGACCTCGACCGTTGATTGCCCGATGTGGCCACGTGTCAATCATCCAAAAAGGGCGAGCAGCCGTCAGAATTATGCAATCATAACCGCTGTCGCACGTCTCCTCGACTTCGCGTGTAGACAGCTATAGTCACTCACGCGTGATGAAAAGTAATTGAAAAAGCCGGCTACATTTAATGCGACACAACTGTGTGAAAATTACTTGTATGCCCCTCATTTCAAATTCCAAGTTCATTGCAAATATCATAGCAGTAAAATGGTTAAGTCTTGTTCACGCCGACTGAAATTAAGTCCAACTCACGAAGCTCATCCAAATCTGCATTCAACACACAACTTGTGAAGTTCGAGCTTAATATCAAATCAAACAATTAGTCTTCGAAGCTTGAAACAAGCACTGAACACTAGGGGGTAGATGTTGTGTGTGATTTTTCCCTTAAGCTTGGAGAAGTCAAAGTTCCACGAGGTTATAGTTCGACCCAAAATCAGTCCGACTCAACAATTGTTTGACCTAGCATAAGCTAGTCGAGACCAATCCTGACAGTTGTTCTAGCAAATCATAGATAAACTCAGATCTCAGATATTTCGGAAGAGATCAGATCAACGGCAATGATAGCACGATCTTAGCGCTCAATCGCGAGAATATTGGAGTCGCACTTCCACCTTGATTGTAATTCCTCTAATTTCGCTATTTCCTATGTAGGAAAATTATATATAAACCCTCTCCAACGATGGAAAAGGGGTTAGCAAATTATTCTAGGCATTGTTATTATTTCTTGTAAGCTCTCTAAGCAATAAGAAATACAGTGGACGTAGGCTCAAGATTACAACTTGCTAAACCACTTTAAAAACTGACTCGTGTTCTTTACATTATTTTGCATATTTTTACATTACATTGTTGATTACTTTTAATCACGCACGCAACGGTTCCGATTCCATCAAGGTCAATCAGATTACTCTAGTTGGTGTAATTCTTGCATCAACAATTGGTTTTTTTCAATGTTTAGTACTTTTCAATTATGATAAGAAGTGTTAATCATCCCCGGGGTTGCCTCTTTTGCATCCCTTTACACGTCTTCAAATTCAACTACATCTCTTGAAGCCATTTAAATACTCACCCTCTCCTTCCGATTCAAATTCCTGCACATCAAATTATACATTGATGGTTATTTATGGAGATTAGGATAATTTAAACCAATAAAACCACGATGAATCATTATTTAGCACATACATCTACCTAAATAATGTGGTGTTGATACATTAAACTCTAAAATGGTTGAAATCTAAGTTTTAAATTTTATAAAAATTTTAAAATAACATTTGTTATGGTATTGTACGTGTATGGATTGAAAAGATTTTTTAGTTAAGTAAAAGCTAAAATTAGAGTTTCATTATATATAAGGACACCCTTGATAGTGAATTTAGCATTTAATACATTTAAATATTAATATGAAATATCAAAACATAATAATCACTTGCCTCTCCTCAACTAAATTTCTGGCTATGTCCCTGATACAAATATGATAATACTTTTATTCATTGGTTATATTATATAAGAGGATAAAAGACTTTCTCCTTTCTATTTTCAATTTCAAAATTTTGTATTTAGAAACATGCATACTATTTTAAGAGATGAAAGGTGAATCCATATTATTCCATAACAATCAAAAGGGTGAATGAATGTCAATCTACTTACAGTAACTTGTACTTCTATTAAAAGTTTTTTAAACTTCTAACGTATGCATGCTCCTTTAAATGCTCCCTCCAAATTTTCTGACTTGCTAAAAATCCATGAGGGGGGTTATTTTCTTCAGAACCCATAATGCAATTGCCATCAGGGATCGCTTCATTATTGGAGAGAGAGAGAGCCTATTAGATGAGATTGACTTTATTGGAAATTGGGTGTGTAGAGAAAACCAGAAATATTAATTGAGATTAATTTGAGATTTTGAAGGTTGTAGAGAGAAATTAAATGGGTAGAATAGTTTTGGAGGGGTCACTTATAATTTTTCAGAAACTCAGGTAAGGTCACTCAGACAGACTCAGGTGTCAGGTCAGTTCTGGTTTTGAATATGTAGGCTGTTTGAGTATCTTTTCCTCAAACCGAAGGGTAAGTGGCGGTAGATAATCCGCCAATTGATAAGAGACATAGCAATTAAAGCCCAAGTATTACTCATGGGATTTTTTCATAATATGCAAAAAAATTGATTTTCAAAAACCTTTCTGAAAGAGACAACAAATCGCAAGCCATAGAAGTGCTTTGCTGCTTAATTGCTAATATTGTGGCCAAAGGTCCTTCATAACGCAAGACCCAACAACTCTGCTCTTTTACCTAGCCAGTTCTAACCCTCCATACACGAATATAATTTAGAGTAGAAAGAAGAACAGAATATGAGTTCCAGTTATAAAGGATATCCTAGAGACATCCATGTTCATCATCATTAATGTCATACGTCTAAGTTCACTCCTTGTATGTCCAAAACCAGTTGTACAATATCACAAACAGCCACTAACACCACAAACAGCAACCAAATTATCACCTTTGCACTTGAACAGGGGTAAGGTTGACGAGTTACTCATACTTCACTTGACAAGTGTAAAAGAAAAGTAGTATCAAAAACTCAACAGTGATTCGATTGAACAAGAACAGTTTTTGCACCACAAAGTTCAGGGGCATTTGACTTGATAATTTGAAATGTCATAGAAAGTCAAAATTAACCAAAATAGAACCCTGTTAAGTTCTAGCAATAAGTGCAACATGATGTAATCAAAAATTGAAAAACTGACCAACTGGTAACAGTGCTCCAGCCACCACAGAAACTCACCCCACTTCGGGAAACCTCGAATAAAAATTAATCTTAGAAATGCTCTATCATAAGTTGAATGATTGAAAATAAACAACTTTGACTCAAAAATCTACCCCAAGCTTGTTTGAAGGCTGCCATTAACACATGCCAACAGGTCATTCAACCACTGAAATATTATAAGCGTTCTAGGACCATATGAAAAAACATTACCAAAAAGTAAAACCCTTATTTTCTTCCACAGAAAATGCCCAAGCGGTGTGTGAAAAAGAGATATTATGTTCAATAATCAGCATAAGAATATAATATATAAATCATACTTCAAAATTATAGCATTAACACTTAAAAAGAAAATGTTCATAATCCAGTCTTCATTATTATTGATTCTTAAACAAGTTGATGTCTTGATAGCATACCATTCAGAGATACAATTTCTAAAGACTGGAAGCTGAAGGCACCACATAATCAACAACAATCACGCCTTCAATATAATCTTTAATCTTCTCTTTCTGCAATTTCACCAACTCCTCGTTGGAATCAGCTTCTTCCATTTCTTTCACTCCCTTGAAAACGGCAATCGAAGCAATCGAAAACCCTTTTGCTCTGGCCGGAGAAAAGTTTTCTCCACAAGTGAGTTGATCTATTCCCCCAAAACTTTCCTTAATTCCTTTAATTACCCTCAATATTTCGTTTTTCACTTCCTCCCCCAAATTCTCCTTCAATTTTAAAAATGTGATTCTTATGGCCGACCCCGGGGGTGGGGTCACAGGGGAGGGAGATTGATCAGCCACCCAATCGACGGCCATTATGTCCTCACAGATTGGCAGGACCGATTCTTTGACGACACTCATGTGATCAGGGTGTTCAGAGTAGGCGGCTAAATCATCCTTGGAGTTGTAGCGGCTGTGGAGCATGTGAGTGAATGAGAAGAGAGAGGATCCGGTTCGGATTACCGGACCGGAGGTGAGATGGAGAACAGGGTCGAGGGAGATGAGGCCGTTGAGGTTGTTAATCATGGTGTTGACTTTCGATTGGTCGGTGTCGGGCTTGACCTTGAAGAGGACGATGTGCTCGACGGTTGACGACATGGTTGGTTTGACGGAGAATGTACGTGGTCTGAGGCGAGGGATGCGTTTGGGAGGTGAGAAAGTGATGGAAAATGTGGAGGTTAAGAAAGGGCGTGCTCGCATACACAGCATTGTGATGAGTTTGGCGAGGGGTTTGAAAGTGACTGGAAGCTTTGCTGGGAGCGGAGAGATAATGATGCCACGCGCTACCGCCGCGTTGATGTATTGTCGTTTAGGCTCCCAAATCCCAATTGTGGTTTAGGAGAGTGTGGTGTACGGAGCGTAGAAATAATTGCAATTGGACATATTTTCATTTAAGGAATCTTATGATATTAAATATTATTTTTTAAATAAAAATTTATTCAGCCTTAAATAAAGATAACCGTGTTTCTTTCACTAGTTTTATCGCATCATATTATATCCAAAATATATATTTATTTCCTATTCTTACAATTTTATTTTATTTAATTCAACTATTTTTAAAACTCTTTAGATTTATTAATTTAATTAAACACAAAAAAAAAAAAAAAATTTAGAAATTGACAAAACACCGGTATTCACTTACATTTGCCAACTTTTGACAACACCATCAGCAGGTTATCGAAATCTGACATAATGACACACTACCAGTTTGATCTGACCGATAGTATGCTGATCTAACCTTTTCCAGCTAGATCTTTAGTCATAGTTGGTCATCAACGACGGCCAAGATATAGTCGTCGTTGACGACCAAATATGACTAGATCCAGGATGGATCTAGTCGGAAAAGACAATATCGGTGCACGACTAGCCAGATCCAGCCAGTCGTGTGCCATTACGATTACTGTCGGTCATCCTTTGGCGTTGGTGGATGGCATTTAATGGGTGGGTAGGGGTGTTTTTATTAATTTTTAATGTTTTATTATGGGGGTGTTTAGCCAAATTATCAAACTTAAAGGACTATTTTTTTAATTTTTAAATTCTATCTCGTAATAACCACCTAATTCAAAATTTTCAAAAACCTTACCCAAAATAATAAAATAAAAACACACCCTCAATGATCTCATTTTATATGGCGTAATACTGTTTTATATTTATGGTGACCACAAAAGCTCATTTAAAAACAGAAATACGCGTTAAATATGAGTGGGTAATGTTACATGTGGGTATTGGGCTCCTGTGCTTTATTTATAAGAAGAAGACTGAAATGAGTAGGTAACCCAAAAAGTATTTCTTCATGGGCATGGTCTTCTGGCCCAATATGAAAACAATATCTTTTTTAAAAGATTAATCATCCCACTGCCAATCAATACTCAAATGTTATGTACAATTTCGGGATTTCGTTAGTTGTACAGCTTAGAGATCTGCATAATAAGGTATAATGTATTCTGATATATATATATTTTTTTTTTATACATGATTTTTTACAAATTTAAGTAATGGAGTGAAAGGTAAAGATGACGTAGCTTCTTTCTTATATTGACAGTTTCAAGTGTCATGGTTAACACTTAACACATATATAAAACTCAATTCATTATTGAATAATATTATACCTACAAAGACTCTACATAAAGTTTATCTTACAAAGACTTTATACAAAGTTTATCTTACAAAGTTCATTATTAAGAGGCTTGACCCAGAGAATGTATCAAAGAATCTTTGCAAAAGCTTTTTGTGTTATTTTCAAGCTTACTTAGAACCAACCTCTGACTTCTACGGTCGCACCATTCTTCTAGTCTGTGACCCAAGTGTTGAATGCGTCGTTTGTAGATGGAAATTAGGACTTGGCCTCTCATCAACTTGTATGGACTCCTGTTACAAAACCAATATGTAAGCAGCCTTGGATACAATATACAATATTAGGCTGAGAGGGAGATTAATTAGAAAGACAGAGAGACATTGATTGAGAGACTGGGTGGGAGCCTATGAAACCGCTACTTCCAGCACTTTGTTATGTTGGTTCTTAATGTATGGAAATGTTTGCCTACTAAAATCTTTCTTGTATGAATAGTAATGCCTCTAACTTTGTGGTTTAATACAAAAGGAAAGCATTTGGGAATTGGGATTGTTATTATCAATCTATCTGTGGTGAAAATGACAAAAATGGAGCTTGCCATTTACGAATGACATGAACATTCTGAATTCAATTCAGCTTACTAATAGTTTTGTGGTGCTTGTTATTGTAATAAATCACAATCATGGTTTACATTGAAGGAGGTAATAAATTTTTTATTTATTAGTTATAGGAGGTAATAAATTTTTTATTTATTAGTTATGTTTTATATGTCTTAATTTCAATCAAAATCTCTTGACTGTGGTTAAAAAGAACCAAGTATAAATTTCATGGTCACAAAAATAGGAAACACATCTTAATTCTTAACAAAAGGAGCATATATCGCACAGCGAAGATAGAATTCCCAAGGATTTTCTATAAGAGTTGAGCAACAAGCTAGAATAGGATTGAAGGATGAACATTGAGATGAAATAATGTTAAATACATCTTTTTATTCTAAACTTAGTGATCATAATAATATTTAGGGAGAGTAACAATTTAAGGCATTTTTTGAAAAAAAGGATAGAATACAACCACAAAGTTCTAAAACACAATGAAAAGAACCACTTAACACTATAACTAAACTTAATACATGTTTCATGCAGCAGCGGATATAGGAATTAATTTTGGAGGGGACAAGTCAAAAATAATATAACATACAACAGGAAAAATGTAAAAATGAGGGGATCAAACATATAAAATATTAATACAAATTTAAGGGGGTTGAACCAAAAAATCAAACTAAATTAATGAAAAATAAAATTTGAATGGGGCACTCACCGTAACTTGGGTTTGCCCATAATTTCATGTAATATTAAGATATTTTTAACATTATAAGAAAATAAAAATAATTTTCCCTTTTAAATACATTTCAACAACTTTATTCATTTTTTGGTTTCGAAAACAAAACATGTGTAATGAGTGGAAGAGATAGAAATTGACATGACAAAATATAGGTAAAATATTAAGCACTGGCAAGCAGTAAGAAATAATATTTATCTAAACAGACCAAGACAAATATCTACTTGAGGAGGTTTAAGAACTTTGGCATCAAATTTTTTTTTTTTTTTTTTTCTTCTTTTCATTGAAGGCAGAATTTTCCGACATAATCATATTTACGTAAATTTTGCCAAGAGCAGCAAACATAATGACATTACAAAAATAGAAACTACAGAAGTTGTTCAAACAGAAAATTTGTTGCTGTGCAATTGTACATGTGTCAAAATAAACATTAAATAAGTTGACAAATATGAACAAAAATTAGGTATCAATGCGATTAGAGTGACCTCATGGGCGTACGAATTGACTTAAATTATATGACTAGATTAAAATATCATATATATTAAATAATATTTTTTTTTTTTTTTTAAGTAACACAACATTAGTACAATGCATGACAAAATATGGACGGCATATAATCTATTTTTATTACTTAGAAATACAATAAAACAACTCATTTGACATTTCTACCAAAGACAAGTTATAATCTGTGGTTGGTATCAAACCTACAAATTGGATAAAACTTGTAAAGGATTAAACAATTACAATGCTTTTAGGTTTACCAAGGGAAAACTGCTCCATTTTTTATTTTTAGTACAGAAGGGGTTTTTTTTTTTTGGTAACTGGTAATTTTAATATAAAAATTATTTTAATAATAAGGAATGTTGTTTGATTTTCTTGATATTTGAATATGATTAAATTAATGTATTTCATATATATTAGATTTTCAAAGAATTAGATACACTCTTGCACACGCAAAAAAAAATTTGGTGATCAAAGCGTATTAGACTTTTATGTTATACTTTTTGTTTTTTTAATTTATTGATTAGATTTATTATAATTTGCTTAATTTATGTTTTAGTTTATGTTTATACAACAGCTTGTGGTGACATACAAAAAAAAAAAAAAATGTCAATATTTTCTTGGATTTTATGTTGTAAACATAAATGGAATAGGTAAAGACCTTTCCCACTATTAATTATGAAGGTGGTTTATTAGGTCACTTATGTGTCAAATATTAATTAGTATTTTAATTTATTATGATAAAATTATTGATTTAACCCATTTTAAATATTAAATTTAACTAAGTTGAGCTGTTAAGTGGACGGTTTTATTGTGTTTTAGAATTTATGATTTTTTTTTTTTTATCTATTTTTGCAAAAGAGTGGATTTAAATTGATAATCACCCTATTTAAATAAGATAACACTAAGGGTGTGTTTGGCTGAGGATAATCCCTATTAGTCTAATAATTTCATTTTTCGTTACCATATTTAATTGTCAAATAATAAAAGATTTCGGTAATCCTCGGATATCAATAATAATTATTGTAGATTATATATGGGTAATCCGAATACCACCAATTTCTGAAATATTCTAAGATTACTTGATAATCTTAATTTTATTACCCATAATTAATAGTATTATTAATAATATTAAAAAAGAATAACAATTCTGTAAAATGCTTCTCTTGGAATTTTTTTATTCCTTCCAATCAAATATATTAATTATTTATACCCACAAATTTATTTCAATCTAATCAAACAAATTTAATATAATATTTTCAATAATTTTAATTTATCTTTTTATCAATATAATATTTCTAGTAATACCATATTTTTTAAACCAAACGTCCTCTAATAAAAATACAAAAACAAAGAAAGTTAGTTTGAAAGAATTAGTTTGGCAGAGGTTTATTCTCTGTTTCAAGTTTAAATCTTGACGTTATTTATAATAATAAAATTATAACTTATCTAATGTTTTGGGGTTATTAGGTCTTTAATAAATTATTTGAATTAGTTTAAGTGTTCGACCACTCCGATAAGGGGGAAAAAAAAAGATCGAGAGAGAGAGATCGAGAGAGAGAGAGAGTTAATAAACCCCAGTATGAGCGAGGTAACAGGTGAATGTAGAAGCCGCAGTGTAGCACAATTTGGCTTAACTGAAAAAGAGTATCCAGATACTGTTGTTTCAGTGACAGGCACAGGTGGCAGGCTAATAATCTACTGTGCCAGTAGGAGTAGTTGCCCACCACTGCCCTCTATTCGTACTACCACCCACCATTTACCCTTCATCCACAGTCCACACCTTTAACTTTTATAACTCTTCTCATTTATTATTATTTTGAATTCTAAACCAACTTCTACGGCCACACCTGCTGTACTCAATACACCCACTTCATTAAACCAAAACCCAATTAATTAAATATGTTATTAACAGTTAAAAAAAAATGTTTATTTGTTTGTTTTAATGGCAGATGATTAATGA